GATTTTACTAATTATGAAAATAAATGAATTATATAATTATATCTTCCCAGATTTTCACAATTATCTGCCCAGATTAGCCATGTTAGCTATATGGGGCCGTACTGATATGCTTGCATTTGCTGATAATATTAAGATCTTTGGTGTTGCTGGCTTTGAGGAAGATACTGCTGTTTTACAAAAGGACTTGGGTCATTTAGTGAGTTGGGGAAATAAATGGCAGCTCGGTTTTAATTATAATTAATTATAGATTATAGGGTTATCATGAATTGAATTATAAATTTAATACTGATGGGAATAATCTTAATAGTGTTATGGAAGGAAAATATCTTGGTTTCTTAAGCTATCCAACCAATTTGATAGTGGTAGGGCAAATAGGATTTTATGTTGTATCTACAGAAATATATAATGCAAGTCTAAAGATGTTGTAATTTATTGTTTAGATCACTGTTTAGGTCACATTTGGAGTACTGTGTCCAGTCTTAGGCTCCTTACCTTAGAAAGGACATTGAGCTATTGGAAAGGGTTCAGAGGAGGGCTACTTTGGTGGAAAGTTTGTCATAGGAAGGCAGGTTAAGATATCTGAAAATCATTTTCTCTTGAAAAAGAAGAGTTAGAGGAAATCTATTTGAGGTGTTTAAGATTGTTAAAGGAATTAATAGTATTGATGCATGACCTATTATGTATTTAGTGGTAAGAACAGTAGGACTAGGGAGAACAAATATACATTTTGGAGGTGTAGGAGTCATCTTCAACTAAGACAGTTTTATGGGTTGCCTTCAAATGTGATGTAGTAAATTAAAAGAAGTTTAAGGGAAGGCTTTATAAATATTTGAATGATGAGGACTTGCTTTGATTTGAGTTTGTTTGTTTAAAACTTAGTGAATGGGTTAGCTTAGATGGACCAACAGGTCCTTTATTGTACAAAAATTTTATGTTATGAACTATAACCACTCTTATCAAAGACATTATTGCAAAATTGAAGGTATCTATTGTTGAATGTAGTTATTCAAATCATCATAAAATATCTTATACCAATATACTTATTTTTATGTGAAAATAATTCATGTTTATCAAGTAGAGACAGATAATCTTATGCATACCTGTGATTCAAGTGTAAGTATATTGTAGAATTTTTTTTTATTGTAATGGCGTGATTTCTCATATCATAGCCTATGAAATTAATTAGTGTTAGATATACATTTGCTGCTCTAAAAGTAAGGAAAACATTTTGGTGCAACTGAGAACAGGAGTCTCAAAATGTCCACCTGACTCACACTGCGAGTAAAAGTCATGTAACTAATCCAGTTTGATGAGCCATATAGAAACATAGAGAATCCAAAACAAGATTGAGAAAGAAAGAAAGAAAATGAAAAGTAAGCTTAGAGTAAATAAATAACCTAGAAAGTAATTAGCTAATAAATGAAAATAAAGGCCACCAATTTCTTGTAAAGATCCCTCCCACAAAAAAAGAAAGGAAAGGAAAAAAATGGCCTCTGAAAGGAGGAAACAGTTACTGGGGAAAGTACTATGACTCCAAAAATGTTAGGGAATGGAGGAGATAGCTCCAACTTACTCCTCTAAACACTGAGGGGTACCACTACCCTTCCCTGAAAACTGAGTTTAATGGATTCGTTATTCATGATTTTGGAATTTTTGCTGTTGAAATTCAGGTAGCTACTTCATGAAAATTAGTTTTTGTGATTTTTATATTTAATTTTCTGGAATTTAAGGATTACAGATTTAAGTTTTAGGCACTCTGTGGTCATATCCCTCCCCTCCCCCCATCGATCACTAATGATGATACTAAAGGAATTACACCTTAATTTCTTAATCCAAGTCAGTTTAACACAGATATTCATTACAGTATTCTAGACTTGCTTAATACCCTGACTTTATCAATTACAGAAAAATTCTAGAAAGAGAAACTCTCCTTAAACCATTTTGACAATATGGACATGATGAATGGTATGGAGGTTAATGTGATAGTTACCTGTAACATTGTACAAGTGGTTGAATTGAAATTTTAGCTCACCTGCATTATAATTGACTAAAATAAAACTTTTTGTCTTATTATGAAAATGAGAAATTAAATTGACAGTGTTTTATCATTCATAGACTTTGATATTTAAAAACCAAAGATTATCATCATGAAAAAAAAAGCTACATTACCCACAGTGGGTAACTAATAGACAAATAATATTGCATGATGAATAAAAAACTGCTGTATATTAAAAGGATTAAGAAGAGGTCAAGTTAAGAGGTTAAGATCTTTAAGGGTTTTTTGTTTCATGAAAATAAGAAATGCTTACTTTTAGTATTATCCAGTTTTAAAATGTAATCAGTTGATCATTTTGTAAATATATATATATAAAAAATATATAAAAAATTGGAAATGGATCAATTCCATCAATTCAGTTGTTGAGTAGTTGAAGAGGAGAAGACAAATGGTCATTGTTAATGGAATCCAGTCAAACTGAACTGCTATTACCCTCATGGGTCGATTCTTGGGCCTTTTCTTTATTTACCTGAAAGATATTGATAAGAGAATAATTAAGAAGTTAGTAAAGTTTGCTGATAACATTAAAATCTTGAATTTTTCTAGCTGTGTTGAGGATGTTGAATTATTACAGAAAGACTTGGATCTGTTGGTAAGGTGGGCAAGTATTTGGCAAATTACCTTTGGTTATGGTAAGTGAAGGCAATTCATTTAGATTATTAGAATTTGTATCTCATGTTCAGTAGAGATGAGAACCCACTCAATAGTGTGATTGAAGAAAAGGATCTTTGCATAGTGGTAGAAAAGTTAATTAAGTCATTGAGGCAGTAGTAAACCTGATAAAAGATGTATTTATAGAAATATTGATTGCAAATCAAAAGATGCAATCATCTCTTTATACAAATCACTAGTTAGGTCTCACTTGGAATACTGTTAAGATCTTTAAGGGTTTTTTGTTTCTTGAAAAGATTAAGAATAAGAAATGCTTACTTTTAGTATTATCCAGGGTATTGACAGAATTAAAGCCTTCAATTTGTTTTTGCTATATTCTGAAGATGATAGGATAAGAGGTCACAAGTTTAAGACTTGGAAAAGACAGGCTAGGCTCCAGTTAAGATAGTTTTATTTTCTAACAGGGTGATAGACTTGCGGAATGAGTTACTGTCAGCATAGTGGAGGCCAGCACTCGACAGAAGTTTAAGAAAGGAATCAATGATTTTCTGAAAAATAAAGGATAGGCTTAAATTTTAATTTTATAAAATGTAGGTATGAAAGGGTAGTTTTAAAGGACCAAATAGTCCATTACTGTCCATATTTATTTCATATGAAGTTAATGAAAGCTTCCAACTCTGGAAAAAATTAATAAGGCTCCTAGTTGTGATTGCTTCTAATGCCTTCATTGTTTTTGATACAGTAAGTCAGTATATACTTATTTCAAAAAATATTTAATTGAAATAAAAATCTTTGTCTTTGTTTAAATGTCAAACTATATGTAACATTTCTCTTGATTTCTATGAATTCATCCTCTTAAAAAAATAAGACAAAATGGAGAATAAAAACTTACTTATGAATGAGTTATTCCTTAAATATAGTATTAGAAACAAAAAGATGAAAGATTCATATTAGAATGGATACAGTTCATATGAGAAAGAGGATGACATTTACAACAAAGAATGAAAGCTACAATAATTTATTACATATGTTTGCTCAAAAGTAATAATGTTAAAATACTAAATTGAAATTTTGTATAATGAAATGTATCTATGTATGTGTTGTACAAATTTACAAATCTATGAATGACCTATTTTCTTTGTTATTTATTGTGTTATAAAAAATGTTATATGCTTTAGGTTTTTTGCTTCAGTATATGATACAACCAACATTCACAAGGAAATTAATTTTAAAAAGCTGGTACAAACACTGAGAGTTATCAGGTTTTGAACCTATTTGACATAACTTGAGTATTAATTTATAATTTTCAGTCTGTTCACCACCAAACAAATGCATAACAAAAGCAATGTAGTTTGTTTCTAATCAAACTGTTTAAAAATTAGCTTTCCAATACACTTTATGAGAGAAACAAATTAGGGATAAAAACATCATGAATACTAGACTACATTGTAAATCATTGAGGCCTTTTGGTTACTCAGTTTTCAGACTTTGAGCTTTTATTATTTTTCATAAAAAAACATTTATTCGTAGAATATTTATTTTACTATTTTTTTTTAGTAACAATTTTCATTTACGTATATTGTTGGCTGTTTTTTTTTTTCAATGATGTATCATAGATTAGTTACTGGAATTATAGCACTTCAGAACTTAATCTTGTAGCTGTAGAATAACCAATTTGGAAATATCAGCCAACTGTTTCTGGCCATTAGATTGTAAAAGTGCTTGGGTTGTCAGATTATTTAATTGTGATATATATAGTTTTACTCATTGTCAGGGTATCATGAATGATGTTGATAAGTAATATATGAGAGAGCATATGATATATTTTAGAACAGTTTCTGCAAATGTTTAAATCCATTGGCTTTGAAGAAATCATGAGAACCTAAGAAAAGGTGAGGTGAAAGAAATTCATTCAGCCCAAGTTCACTTCTCATCCAAAAAAATATAATAATCAGCAGTCAGACCAGGAAGTAGGAAAATGTTCAAATGATAAAACTGAGACCTTTCAGTCAAGTTATTACTTTATCTTCCATAAAAAGAAAACTACAGGTTTGAAACAAATGTCAAATGACATAAAACTAATGATTTACATATTGTATAATAACAAAGTATTAAGTTAAAAATGATTATTTTAAGAACTTTTGAAACATAAACATTTTAAAAATGAATTAGTATTTAGATATTTGGTGAATTCTGTAATGGTATTTTAGATGTGCATTTCATGATTTTGCAAAATAATACTTTTTAAATTTTGCAATATTTTTGTGAGTAATAAAGTAATATTTTGCTAAATAAATTGCAAGAAAAGTTAATACTTAACTAGAATCATAAGAGGTTTAGATAATGCTGGGAAGACCACCATCTTGAAAAAGTTTAATGGAGAAGATATTAATACTATATCTCCAACTTTAGGATTCAACATCAAGACTTTGGAACACAGGGGGTAAGTTTTCCTAGGTTATGGCCTTTTAAAGTTATGTTATTTATTTTGAACTGATATTTATATTTATTTATTATTGTTTTGGAAATAATGAAAGGAAACTTAAAATTTTTTATTTACAATTAAAGGTACAGATAATAGTGTAGAATTGATAATGATCAATGTTTCTTTATAAAATGCTTTCTAAACAACTTGTTGTATATTTATATATATTTCTGATTTTAGCCTGAAGCAGCCATTTTAAGCATAAAGTAATTTTGTTGACTTTAATAGTTTATTTTTATATCTATGAGTACAAAAGTGATTTATGCATTCTTTTAACATAATTTTTATGTTTTTAATTGATGAAAAATAAGGTAACGTATCATACAGATCACCACTGTAAGAAGCCTAGACTTCTTTTTTAATTTGGCCTAGCTGAAAGTTTCTAGTAAGGTATGGAATTTCTTGATACCATTCTAACTCAATACTAAGTGGTAAATTTAATGATAGTTTGGGCTTCATATTTCTTTTTACTTCTGAGGTTTCTTTATAACAAGCATTTTGTTTTTCAGGTTCAAGTTGAACATGTGGGATGTTGGGGGCCAAAAATCACTCCGTTCATATTGGAGGAATTACTTTGAGAGCACAGATGGCCTTATTTGGGTTGTAGACAGTGCAGATCGTCGACGGTTAGAGGACTGCAGGAGTGAGCTTCAGACACTTCTTGTTGAAGAGGTTGGCACCTAAGGTTTAAAAAATAATAATTTTTGTAGGGATCAATAATGATAACATTAACTAAAGATGGTTTCAATCTTAAAGTTAGCATAGCAGAAAGGTAGTTTAATTGATATGAAATTAGTTTTTCGTATGAACATTATAGATTTTCTATATACCTAGTTACTTTATCCCTATGTTTTGATAATAAAAATGCTAAATATACTAAACTAACCTAAAGAAAACTAAGCACTATTGGCTTGTTAATAACAGTGTGTTATTTTTCATAAGAACCAGTTGTAACAGAGAAAAGATTAGAACCAAAATGTTTAAAATGCTAAGTATTTGGGTTGTTTGTATACATACATAAAATTTTTATTTTTTTATTTTTTCTTATTAAATATATCAACAGAGGCTCGTGGGAGCAACATTACTAGTATTTGCAAACAAGCAAGACCTTCCAGGGGCACTTCCTGCTGAGGAAATTAAAGATGTAAGAAACAGATATTATTTAAATGGAGTTAATTACACTTTTTAAAAATGACTTGCATATGCTAATATAATGGTGTGTCGTTAAAGATGCGAGTCATGGCATCATAGGTGACTTGCTAAATGTTTATATATTTGGCTCAAAATGAATTCTTTACATTTGACAGTGCAATGTTCCTACACACAGACTTGTGGCTGAAAGTAAAAATTGCAACCTATTCTCAGGAGGTATATTTGTATAGCAAAGGGGGAAAGTCAGCACACTCAAATGATGATGTAAAACCACTTAAACACAATCCCACCATATTCATCCAGCAAGATTGTTAACTGATGCCAAAGGACAAAATATTTTGGAGAAAAGATCATTCAATGTTCTCAATGGAAGTTGAAAAACTTCCACTACAGAGTGTTTAGGATAGTGCTGGGTTCCAAAATCACACCCCGCTCAATACAGAACAAAGCCCTCATCTGCAAAATTAAGGCTATGATTATGAATGAAAACTCTTGAACCTTAAAAGCCATTGCTTGCAGTGAAGCTGGTCATATCTTGTGGTACCATTAAAAAGATAATAAACCAAGGTTCTGAAGCTAAAAAAGGCTCACAAACCAAAGTTCATAAGTTTCCAGCCACATTGAAATCAAGAGCTGTTTTCATGATAAGTATGGCTGAAGGATCTGGAATCACAGCAGTCCCATGTGCCACATACCTGTCAATTCTCTGATGCAGACCTTATAAAATATTTGTGCCTTTGGCCTGCTTAAATGAGGTCTTGAAAGCCAAAACCCAGTTAAAGTGAAAAGTATGTGGGAAGCTTGTTAAGATGTGTGATTTAAGACTGGCTTTGCCATTTTTTACAGAAGGTTGTTATAGTGAAAACTGCAGTTTCCAGCAATCATTAAAATCAAGGTTATCAGATTCAGCTTCATCAATAATGGAAAGAAAGTAGTACCAGGGACAGCACAGGGTCTGGAACATTGTTCTTATAAAGTGTGAATAACCCTCATTACTTGTTTATAAATTGATTTTAAATCTTTATTATTCCAGGCAATTTTTATATCAAAAGCATTTTATGTATGATTTGATGTAGTATAGTAGTAAATGTTAAGTTTTCATTACTTGATGAAATTTCTCTCAACAAACATTATTCAAATATGTATGATTTATTTTAGAAACTATCTACCATTTTGTGCAAAAGCATTTTGTATATAATTTTTAAGATTTTGTTGTTAACCATATTCTTTTTTTGCATCTGCATTTCATACCCCATTCCATTAGTTTGTTACCATAGTATTTGATCACAGTATCTTGTTTGTAATCTATACATATTTCTTGTTCATTAGCAAGATCTTTCAGAATGTCTACCAACAATACTTTACCATACTATCTCATGTTTTTGCCTTTATGGATTGTGTAATTTATTATTAAGTTATTTAATAGGTAAATTTCTAAGTTTCAGTTTTAAACTTGGAGTTTAGTCTTGTCTGAGATATCTGTAATAACTTGATCTGAGTTTTACTGGCGTTGCACCTGTATTTAAGAACGTGTAGAGTAATTACAGTTTTCTTTGTACAAGTTGACTATCCTAGTAAAGTTTTGTGTAATATGTAAACAGGTGTTTTACTATTCTTCAGGTTCTAGAGCTGGACTGTATTAGTTCTCATCATTGGAAGATCTTACCTTGCAGTGCTGTCACTGGAGAGAATCTATTGGAGGGAATTGATTGGACTCTAGATGACATAGCAGCTCGTATCTTCACTTTAGACTAAAGAAGATAATGCTGAAATTCTCCTAGTAAGCACTTTTTCTTTTAGTGATTATCTAATTTAGATATAAAAATCTTTCAGGTGTTGTATAGTCACCAATATTTTATATAAATAAATATACATATATATATATATAAATAAGTAAAAAAATGTGAAAGTGATAAAACAAAGAAATTAGACTTTTTGAGAAAAATCACCTTTAAATCACTATGATAGTAATTTAAAGGTGATTTTAGTGAAAAAGTATAATTTCTTTTATATATGTGTATATATATGCTGCATTGCTATATGAATGAAAAGTTTTGTAATACCTATTTGTGTAAAACATGTTTTCATTGTATGAAGAACAAGTATGAAAACACCCTAGACTTTAAATGTTGATCTCATAAAATGAATTAATCTATAATTACTGTTATCAGCAGCACTGACATGAACCACATTAATTACGAAATGTTTTAATCACAAGCTCCATTATTGTAACTGCAAGCAGCTAGATCCAGTGGATAAATTCTTCCTTAAATATATCACTAAATATGTATTTATCTATCTATCTATATATTATTTTTTTTTTTTTTTCATTATATCCTAAATTGCAACTCCTAAATTTTGTATGGAAAAAAACTTGATCTAATGTTATTTCAAAATATAGTTCTTACTTTTAATATTAAAATTACTTGTATTTGATGAGAAATGCCCTAATGCATTGGTAACATATTTTAGTCAGGGAAAAAATCCAAAACAGTTTCAATGGACAACACTTGCATCAATTACCTGTAGAAATGGACCTTATTTTATCTTCTTGTGATACTTGGATGCATCTGACACCTTGTTTAAGGTTTCAGTATCCTTTCTTCCCTGGAATCAAGAGGCAGCTTTCTTTACTGATTACTCCTCATTTTTGTAGATTGCATTAGCATTGACTGTTGTATTTAATTCAACGTAAAATAAACAAATGGAAAATTTATTTGTTGCTGTTTATTTACACATTTCCACTGATAAAACCTATAAATTACTCGTCCATAGTCAGTAACTTATATAATCACCTAAAGTCTAACTATCAATTAATTGGTAATTTTTCTTTTTTTTATTACTATCTAATTTATATCTTATATTTTGGCTGTTAATTTTCCACCATCTTGGTGGAAATCCCCAGAATGATGTTTTTGTGGTGGTTGTGACTTGGATTTGATGACGGGTCATTTTAATGGAAAAGCTGGTGTGCTATCCACTCGTCTGTGGTCACTCCCATTAAGACTTGAATCACCTAACTTATTTGCATATTTTTAAATGAGATGTTTAGAATCTGCTGACTTCTAGGCTAGCTTGACTGAGTGTGCTATCAATTTATCGTATATATCTAGCATGTTGGTCTATTGCAGATATACTAATATTACAAGGTCATGTATGTCTATTATGCTCCTCAATTTTTACTTTTGCTGGTCTGCATTCACAAGGGATTTTGTAAATGGTGTTTTTACTTTCCACTGGTTCCTTATGTAGTTGGTGTATATTAACTTCAATGGTATTGTGTTGTGGTTCCTGAATACTCGTCTTAAATTATTGTGTTTACATATCCTCTGTATGTTTTCTGAGAGACTGCTGACATGAGAGAATATGGCTATGTCCATAATTTTTTTTACCTGCTTATACTTGGTTACTATCTTCTTTATCAAGTGTTCCTAGGCATCTTTTGTCAAGGTAATTTCTAAGTTTTATTTTGAACTTGGAATTTAATCTTGCTTGTCAGTTTCATTCATGACTAGCAGAGACCCACAAAACATTTCTGGCCAAATTAGTATCTTTATCATAACAGTACTTCTTTAAATATAACATTTTTAGCACAATACAAAGGAATTGTAATCGTAGACAACGAAATGTGTGAATACACTTGTATATAGGCCGTACTTTATAAAATTGTAACTTATGTTAGGCCTAAGTTCGATAAAGAGATAAATCAACACTGTAACCTGTGTACATTTTTTTTTTTTTTACTTTTGTTTAGTTAGGACTAAACTTTACTGTACTTAATACGATCAATAAATAAACTTATAATGTTATTCTGTGACCTAACGTCAAACCTTTTTTAAAAACATTAAAAAGTTTTTAATATTCTGTTGTACAAAATGGTTAGTAAAGTATATTTGCATTTCCCTTTTGTTGTTACTTCTTGTTTCATACAGCAATTGTAGTGGCTTGATCACTGAGCTTTGCAGCTTTTTGTGGTCGAGTGAATAGTGCGTATGTGTGGTTTTTCTTGGGGAAACATTCTAATTATGCATGCTTATGCAGCAGGTTCTCAGTCTTGGTTGTACATAAAACAAGCAGAATAATAGTATAGATACTTTGACAATGTGTATCACAAATAATTTGACAACCCAAGAATTTTTACAATTCAGTTCCCAGAGATGATGAATGACATCTATTAACCTTTTCTATATGGGTCACAGGTGAAAGGCCATGTCATCTTGTTTGTTGACTCACATTCAAAATTTCATTGAACTGCTATTTCATGAATTTATGTCAATAAGTTTGGTATCAAACTATAGATTATAATTCAAATTTTAGAACTATTCATTACTCAATTTGTTATTTAAAAGTAAGTATTAAAAAACAGATAAACATTGATTTTTATGTATCACGTGGTATGTTGAATACAGGATTGGTTCAAATTAGATGTTTGTGAAGTCAAAATACTATGTCTGTAGTTTCATACAAATTAGAAACTCAAATTACAGATATTGACAAGCTAGAATATAAAATATGAAGGTATTATCTTTTCTGTTTGCTAAAATATTGCTCACATAATAAATTAAACACAGTGGCACCCCACTCACCTCTTTCCATTTTTGGAAATGCTCCCTCATGTACACTTACTTCTATATATGACATGAATAATCAATCAGAAGCTCAGAATGTCCCCCTAGTGGTTTTCTCAGCCTTTTTAACTTACCTAGCATCATTTCTTTCTTTTAAATCAAGAGTTCAATGAGATAGGTTGTGACTTTAGTCTGCTTGAAATTTCATATTTTTTTAGAGTAAAATACATCTTAGCTACTAAGCTTGATAAATTATAGTTGAATTCTATGGTATTGATGTAGTAATTTATGTTTTTTTAGTTATTGAAAAAAAAATATATAAAACCTTAAAAAAATCTATTTTGTTTCATATCCTCCATGTACAAAATTTTTAAAAGCTTAGCAACCTACTTCAAGCAGCAACCGAGTACAAAGGTCCTAACTAGAAAAAATAAATGTTTGCTTTACTTCTTTATTTACTGTTCTATGTTTTAGGGAAAATAGCTTTATGAACTTATTTCCAAATAGCAATAATCTAGATACATATCTAATGTATAATAATTGAAATGTGACTGTATTTTACAAGATACTAGTCGACTAAAACACAGCCAGTTACTTTGTAAAGACCAAAGGTCACCTTTATGTTATTTGATAAGGTAACATGAGTGCATGTGATCCGCGTCGTTGTAACTTCTGTATTGTTAGCCAGGCACAGGTGAAAGGTCAATGTAAAATATATATATATAAAAATGTATAATGTTATGAGATTTAAGCTATTTCATCTAAATATTTATGTTTTCATGTTATAGTTTGTGTTCATTCTAGAATGAAAGAGGCATAATTTATGTTTATTTCCTCATTCTTTATGGTGGTTGTGAGATCGGTCAAATTTACCGAACCCGTACAGAGATTAATTACTGAAAATAACAGATAAAATACAAAGTTCTTTCTTAAGAAATGTTTGATAACTATCCAGACATTATAAAGATTTTGCATATGAAATTTCAAAATTTTCTGATGCATAAACATATTTTTAATGTTAAAATGAAAATTACTTTGCATGATAGATGATAGGCAAGATGCGAAAAGAAAAAATAAATCATGAGAGAAACATTGCTTTACAAACCTTAAGACTTAATAAAAAAAATTATTTTGCATATGAAAGCATTGTAATGTTTACTCATAAACTGCCAAATTTCGTTAACATTTGTTTACTAATTTAAAAGTTATAGCTTGAAAACTATAACAAGCACAAAATGGTTACGAGGTCAGTCCCACGGACCGAGCCCGGGTTGAGAGAGTTAACATATATTTAAAACTAGTCATTGGGATCGGAAGTGCTGTAATTACAGCAACTAACCCGTCATATCTCATAAAAAATTATAGCCAATAATATTAGTAAATAAAAACTGTCATTCCAATGTTACTGAAAAAGGATAAGAGAAATATTTTGTCAATAAATATGTTCTTATGAAAAGTAGTGATATGTTTAATATTTGAATACTGAGTAAGCAAAAGTCCTCAAATTACAATAAACTACAGTGTAGTATGCTATTCGTGAAGTGCCTTTATCCCTAATTTTCTTTCTTATGAAGTGTATTGGAAAACTAATTTGTACACTTTGTGACTAAAAAAGAAAAAAAAAGAGGCTGCATTACTTCTGTTACGCACTTGTTCTTTAGGGATCAATTTTCAGAATAAAAAATAATACTCAAGTTAATACGATTTTGGTTAAAGACCTGGTAACTGTATGAGTCTGTCATTATATTGTTGGAGTGGTTTGATTTATAGTTGAGATATTTACCCTGTGGGTTTTGCATAAGCTCCTGTGGTACATGAATTATATCTTGACAACATTCTACATACAATTCACAATGAAATTGAAGATAAATTCCCATCCCCAGACACAATGATTACTAAGACATAGTTCATGTATCACATGAAACCCACAAATATGGGTTAATACCTCAACTATAAATCACACTGCTCCAACAGTGTAATTACTTGCATCATAGACTGCCCAGTTTCCAGACTGTAATATTGAAGATGTCAAGAGGGAAGAAAACACATCACTACTACCTTTCTTGACAATGGATACCTGAAGCATAAAAATCAGCAAAACCTGAATATCTCTGTTGAAAGCATTAAAATAAGTTAGTTGATTCAATTCTTAATAGGAGACAAGTGGATATCACACCAGTCTTTTCATCAAGGGACCCAGTTGGCTACTACCATCGCAGAAATGGCCCTTCTCGGGACTTCCCTGAAGATGACAGCAGATTAGCAACTACAAAAATAGGATGAAATTTAATTAATTAATATCAACTGATAAAATAAAATATTAGTAACTAATTAGTAATTAGACCTATAAACCATGAAAATAATTAATATCCCATTGCCTTAATCTTACCATAAGTCTTAATAAGTATTATATGTTAACATTCAAGTGTTAGGAACAGTGAAACCTTAAGTTAGGTTATCAGAAACTTAAGTATCTTTAATGTTTATTTAAAAATATTAGAAACTAAAATGGTTAAACCTTAGATAGAGTTTATAAAATGTTCATTGGTGTAGTCAGGAGATATTATTTGTGATGGAAAACTGGGAGATTGAGGACAAAGTAAACATTGTTTGTCTTAAGAAACAAACTAATCAAGTTAGCTTACATTGATTTACACATTTAAACTGAGATTTCTGAGAAAAAATTACTTTTAGAATCACAAGATGACAATACCCATCCTATTTAACCTAGTTAATAGGCCTGAACAGAAAACTTCTGAGTATAGTAAATGTTGCAATAATGCTAATAAACTGCACCAAGCAATTAAAGAATAACTGAAAATTACATTATTTAACATATGATAAGGCAAAACCATTATTATAATGACAATCAGCTCCCTTAGTTAATTTGTATGCAAATACAGCCTGGCATTGATGCTGGATAGTTAAACTTGAACAGTGTTGATGAGGCCAGAGGTATCATCAGTCATTTTTTGGAAAAAGCTGTTTCCAGAGCATCTTTATTGCTTGGAGTTACTGGTATTGAAGTATAGTGAGTTAGCAGTCCACTCCATTTGATTAATTTTCTATGGTTAACCAGATTAGTACAATGGGAGGGGTATTTTGTCATCTACTAATTTTGAAATCATGGCCAATTACACTAGTATCTGGCAACACAATATAATGTATGACATTATTGGTACTGTTCTTCAGGATATACAGGTCAGTATATTCACTGATGCTTGTTCTTGCTTCTTATACCACTACTATGAATATCATGTTCTTTTCCATTTTCTGTCCAAATGAATATATACCTGTAATCTGTCTGTAGGGTGAAGCATAAATCATCTTTGAAAAGATTATTTGTTTATATGTTTTTTCTGCACCATTTCACACGGAGACAGTATCCAGATGCATCTGCCAGTATTTGATGCAGTCTTAGAGCAGTTCCTATATAACAGTGATGAGCCTGAATCAACAAGTAATAGTCATTTACTAATGTTTTGTGAGAGTTTGCCTTATTCAGGTGTCTCAGCAACTTTAATTTTGGTTTGAAAGTTATTCCTTATTCTATTAATGACACAGAAGACACTTTGTAGCCAATTGTAATAGTTTGCTGCGATTGGTTGGTTTCCTCTTGTGTTGGACTACAGTATGTAAGTAACATATACTGAATGAACAATGTTTTGCATTTCAGATTACATGATTTAATATCATATGTCTGATTTACATAACAATGAACTAAGGAGTCATTGATATTATATCATCATCATGGTTTTCCTTGTCATAGCTTTATTGTATTTTCTGATTATTTCCAACTACACGTGAGTTGTGGTTGAAAACAAGTTAAGGAGGGTTAAAATCCCCCACCCTAGATTAGCACTTGAATGTAATTTTAATTTATAATGTTTTTTTTAGTTGTGATATTCAAGATATGCATAAATATATAACTGTATACTTCATAAATAAATTCCAGCTTTAATCATAAAAAAGAACATTTATAAAAAAGATACATATATACACACACATAACACACACACTTGTTTGCATTAAAAGAAATATTGTTATTGATGTATATAAAGAACAGTTCAGAAGATATTGCAAACTGTACATTTCAGAAACATAAAAGTAATAACTCCACAGGTTTATATGGACACATACAGTTTTTGAATAATGTTTTGATATCTGCACTTTATTTCAGTAATTTGTATGTACTAAAACAGTGATGTGATACTGTAATTGTGAAGTTGTGGCACCATGGACAATATGTTTAGCCTCTATATGTATTTATTTCACAGGAGATTTTTTACTGTGTGACTGTACAATGTTAGGGTTTGTGTCTGGATAGGTATTAAATCTTTTTTCCAAAGAGAAATATTCATACAGTAAGATTTTTAAAACATGTAGTATTGAGAAACATGTTACAAAAAAGGGAAGCTTTCATTGTTCCCCATAAATGCAGAAAAATTCCCACAGTAAAATATTTAGGGACATTCCAATCCAAATACACTTAACCTTCTGTAAAACTACTAATGAACCATCTCGGCATAATTGTTCAAAGATAATGTACCTTATAAATTACCTATTCACTCTACATGATGACACAAAAAAGTTATAATCACCCACAGGTAGTAGTAACAAAACTGAATCATTGTTTTTAGTAATAAGTGTAATCAAAGGGATGTACTCTAAAAATATTTTACACATCTTACCATGCATGTTGTGAGATTTTCTGTAGATTAAGTGCTAATATGACCACATCCAATTTCTTTATTTATTTTTTGACGTGAACTCAGAAGAATGAGTGTCCTATTTGTAAGTTGCTTTCAGATATTTAGTTCTTTTAAACTTTTCAGTACAGAATAGTTATTCTATATGAACAACAATACCCTGTTTAAATCACCTATATAAAAGCTATTCTATACCTTAGTTATATGAATCAGTTTATGTTTGGTAATTCACTGTTTTTGTAACATTAAAAATGCAAACAATTAAATTATTTAATATTGTGGTGAAATTGTAAAATATGGTGTTAGTGTTACTATCATCATAATAAGTATTTCTGCAAGAATTGGGGAAGATAGGCCCTTTTAACTAAAAACAAAAGCCCTGGGGCATGAGACTAATATATTGTTAATGCATGAAGAATACACTGAAAATGCTTTTTTATATGTAGATTTAAGGCAAGAAACTTTTAAATATTCTCAAACAAGAATAACAAATATCTCACCAAAGAGGCATCTCCATATAAAAATATCACCATTGGGCATATAAAATAAATAAAAAATTAAACAAATAATAACAAAGACCTAAAACTTTTTCTTAGCATTTGAATATACCTATTTTTTTTATCAATTATTAAAAAGAAGTAAATAAAAGGTTCATATTCTCTAAGGTTTTTAACATTTTGTGTTGTACATTAAGATTTATTACATCTTGACCTCTACAGTGTTTCCTTTAAAAATACAAAGAAAACATAAGCCATTAAAATTAGTAGGCTAACCTGAAATTTTGTTTCCATACTGTATTTCAATAAATCATTTTATCATGTATACATTCTGATGTACAGTTTTTATTAGATATCATGACTTCTTGTCAATACACACCAACAAACCACAATAAGTAAGAAACTGACACTCAATAGTAACCAACATTAGCCTTAGAATTGCATCCCTATTATTTGGAACAGACCTATGGTTTAAAAAATCAACCAGATTCTTTCAAATATATTGTGGTAGTTTTTCCTCTTTAAAACTATTAATAATTTCCTTTAAAGTAACACCATGAAAATGTCTTGTCACCACCTACATGTACTAGGTACAGCCATATCAAGCGTCATTATTTACGCTAATTGTTTAAGCCAATATGATGTGATGCTAAATGCTGCTTTTTGATTAGGAGAATTCCATAGAATTTAACAAATTTTTGCTAAAAAGTTGGCAAGGAATAATAAATAATAACCATCCATCGGTATGATTCTTTTGAAAACTTGCGATAGAAACTGCTAATCTAGTTTGCTTGGCCTAACCAATACTTATGTATCTGCACGTTCTTTCACCCTATAGTTTTGCTACTCTAAATCAGCCATCTTTAATCCGAATGACAAAAAACTAAAATTTTCTATCTTTAACCTGTTGTAAAAATTTCAGACCAATAGCTAATGAGACTTTCTAGGTAGGCGTGCACAAAATTTTGATCAAACATGAGCGTTTTTTGTTGAATAGCCTTGCACTTGTGACATATTTAGACCACATTTTTCACCTAACTGTAAGTTGTAAAGGTCTGTCAGTGTACCAAATTTGAAAAACGTCCATGATAGTTAAGCATGTTTTTGAATTAAATAAAGTTTCCATACTCTGTTGTGAAGAAAAAGTGTAAGTAGTGATCTTTGCTGATGACTAATATATTTATATTTGGGATCTTTTCTGACGGATGCTAAGGCTATTATTGTAGCCTTAGCACAGCAAAGGTCACCATTATTCTTTATAGAAATAACTGATAACTTTTCAAGTCAAACACGATAATAACCTCAGTTTTGAAAGACTCGTATGATGGTATGCCCTTTTTACTCTGATGGACTTTTACGATGTTGATTAAGATCATATCAGGTGAAAACAGTTCCTTATTTTGTAAACAAGTGTTTGGTTTATCCAAAAGATTAGAATAAATACAACCCTTAACTTTATCTCTTGTTTAAATGACTTATTGTTTCATCCATTATGGTTTGAATATTCTGATTGAGAAAGTTCATGATATATGTAAGTGGCTGATTTAGGATTAAATAATCTGTTGTATGTTGTAGCAATTGCATTGTACTTTTTAACTCTCTTATTCCTTGTTGTTTTTTAACAATAAATTCTCTATCTTCTTTGTGGAGACTTTTTAACAGACACCTGTTAAATGAGTATCTGTATAAGTGTAGACATCGATAAAATATATTAATTAATATAATTCTGTAAAGGAAATGAAATCAATAAGTGAATAATTAATTCTGAATAAGTGTTGAAAACTTACCTTTTTCTTGTTAGATGTATGTTTGACCCCTTGGGAAGTCTGCATGTTACTAGTCTCTTCATCACAGAATATCTATACAAGAAAGAAGTAAACGCAATGATTTTGAAACAAGAAAGTCAAAAATGCGAAAACTGAGCCACTTTAAGTTTTAAATAACTAAATTTTTGTAGTCTTAACATTCTTGTTTCAGTACTGTTTGTAGCATTAAAACTTTCTATATTACTATAGCTAGGTAAGTATATATTGATATACAAGAAAGAAGTAAACGCAATGATTTTGAAACAAGAAAGTCAAAAATGCGAAAACTGAGCCACTCTTAAGTTTTAAATAACTACATTTTTGTAGTCTTAACATTCTTGTTTCAGTACTGTTTGTAGCATTGAAACTTTCTATATTACTATAGCTAGGTAAGTATATATTGATCCCTACTTGTCTTTTTAGATTAAAAAAATTATTATACTTATAGAAATACCATCCGCCATAGCAGTACTAATCTCAGTAACACAATTTGCCGAGTAATATAATCTGCCTATAGAACCTTAGTAATACGATCCACCTAGTAACACAATCTGCCCATATAAAACGTATGCAATTATATAAATGAAAACTACAAACATATGTTGAGATAAATTGAAATCTGTATGCAATCCTACAAAAGTACAGTAACATTGTCAGTCTATAAAAACACCATCTACCTTTGTGAAACACACACAATATGCTTAGTAAAACCATCTGTCTATAGTAACAAGCCCTGTGATATCACCTATCCCGGAGACAGCAGCATCCTCTTGTGTCACTTCAGGAAACCATAATCTTAGCAACACACTTTGTAGTGCCACTTCGTGGACGTCATCGCCCTCTGGTGTCTATTACGTAACAATTATGCAACCCTCAGGCGGCATCTTCTGCTGCTGAACAATCGCACTAACTACTGACAGATGAGAGTAACGATAGGAGAACATTTGCAGAGTAAAGAATTCAAACAGACGGGTAGAATAATGAGTTATGGTGTGAGCTAGATTAAGTGAAAGTGTAATTTTCATCAGGTCTATTTAACTCATTTGCTGATCAGAATTACTGTATAAATTAATAATTGAACTTTATTGATTTATATATTTTTAATGCAATAATTTTCAGTACAATGTTTCCTTGGATTACCTTTATTAACCAGCAAGTTAGTATTTTTGCATTCTGAGCTGGTTAAGCAACCAAAACATTAGATTGTAGAAAACTGCATTAGTGGCTCTAAGAACGTCTAAGTGTAAAGAAAGAAGAGTATGTAATATGTCAGTCACACTATATTTGCCATATCCTGTGCCTACGAGACCTCCTGTATAATACAAGG